ACTCATATACTTTGTCTGTAGTAACAATATTAATTTTAATAAAGTACACATCTACATAAATAATCTAGATGCTGTTATTTACTGGCTTTTATTAAATCCTTTAATTTTTGATCAAGCCCGACAGATGGCAGCGCATAACCTATTGTTCTAGTGATTATGATGATAATATCATAATACTACAAATAAATAAGAAGAACTACGTAACTTTAGTAACTTTTAATAAATTATAATAAATGATATTTAAATAACAATAAAGTTTATAGCACAAATAGATAACTGTTTTCTCCGAATGTTAATTAAGGAATGAATAATAAATTATAAAATGACGTCTATATATACATCTCTATAAATAAGTAAACATGGTAATAACATCTCCATAGTAATAATAAAAATAAAATAACAATTTACAAATATTCTTATGGTAGGAGTTTATATACAGTTGACGATGTCGGTTTACAGGAAACGTACTATCGGCGAAACGATTGTGTAGATGGCGTTGATGTTAATATTGAAGAAGTAACGGTCGCTACATTGTGACAGCATTTTCGTAGACAAGGAGAGCGACAAATGTTCGACAAAAACGCGTATACACTACATGAGAGGCAGACAAAGGAATAGTGTGCGACAAGGATAACAATAGCAATTAGTTTCACTGTTTCGCCGTTACGCGTCGCCAGCATTTCAACGAACTTTCGTTTGCAAAAGAAACTAATTAAATGGGTTAAATTACATACTTACACCACTGCGTTTTGCAAATTGGACCTGAAGGTTTTCCCCTGTGTTTCATTTTAGTGCGCGAACTACCTGCCTTCGAGAAAGTCCTCGAGTTCTGCGCTCGTTTCAACAATATTTAACTTCTTCCAAACTACGCGCAAAGCTCGAATCGATGTTTATTTAACGAAGAGGAACTTACGAACCGGTGAGAGGAACTTACGAACATTGTAAGCTCAGAAAATAGATGAAAAGCAGAGTTATAACTTGCACATTCTTCGACAGTGTCCGACAGTCGTTAAATCGCGATTTAACGCTTAGTTTCTTTGTTTCTTCTAGTTGCGAGTAACAAACCGGAACAGCGATCTACCTCAAGGTCAACCTTCGACCGGAAGTGAGTGTCAAGTTAGCAACGCCGAACAATAACCCGACAAACGAAACGCAATACGACCAATGATTTTTCGCGTCACGAGCGAAATCCCGCGAGCTTATTTAGTTTTATTCCGAGTGGAACGGGGCAAACACGCCCGGGCCGAAAGAGGAGATATTTACACGGCAAACAGAGCGGCTCTCTGCAGGAGTTGAGTTGCACGCCGGGATTTTTTGCCCGCTGGAAAAACAAGGTAATGCACAGGATGGTTTTCACGAGGTGTTATAATGAAGCGTTTCCCCCCGAGTGAGGAGGGGGTGGGGGAGATCAACGCGCGTGACAAAATTACGTTTCAACGAAATCAAACATCGGATAGGCGGCGCACTGAGTCCCGTCAGGGCCTGTGTTTGTTCACCTCGAGCACCAGCTTGCAAAAATTTGTTTATAGAAAGCACGGGAGCATGGAGGTACGTATTGTTATTTTACGCCATGGAGATTCGACGGATAGGAGTAACGACCGCGGCTGTATCCGGCTGCACGCACTATTTCAAAGGCATTAAACATGGAAAAAGATTGGCAGGTACACGTGCATGGTGAAACGCACTGGGTTGAAAAGCGTGCCTTTTCACGAGCATGGGATTTCGGAACGTGGAATCTGAACGCCGATAAATATTACATCGCCCCGCCGCTTGATAGAGATTTTGGTTGAAAAAGAGGGGGGGGGGGGGAAGAGAACACCAGAGAAGCTTGGACATTTATTGTCGGTTAAGTACGTTCGTTCTTTCTATTAAAAAAAGAAAAAAAAACCAATTTTCTATTGGTACAAACGAATGCATTGCTTGTCGATTGATATAATGATATTCCATTGAATATTTGTATATACAGTCAATAATTGCAGCGTAATTTACTTTAAAGCTATTAATTTTTCTACGTGAAAAGTCACAATCTTACAATGTCAACCAATTATATATATATACGCATGCATACTTATTAACCATCATTATATACTCGTGCATTGAATTATAAGTATAGAAACAAATTATAATTTTTCTCTGCTTTACAAATCTTGTTTCAATAAAAATTCAAACCAGATCTGAAATGAAATGTAGAGAGAGAGAGAGAGAGAGAGAGAGAGAGAGAGAGAGAGAGAGAGAGAAGGAATCGAGAATGGAGATAAGTTGTTAAATGTTCTGTGAAATACAATATATTCCTCAAAGCACAATCGACACAGTTTTTTTCATAAGTAACGTAGAGTAGCATTCATTGTAATAGGTACGTTGTAACGCGTTTGCGCTGGGCAACGAAGTATTCTTTTTTTCATAAAATTCTCGCGGAAAATGTCCAAACCATACGCTCGTTAAAGAGAAATGAAAAACGAAAAGCGGGAAATAGCAAAATCAATTATTACGTTAATGTCGATTGCATTGGAGTACGTATACACCTACCTACATATTGAATTACCCAGAAATAAAAATAAAAGGAGAAATCTGCTGATGTTATTGTAAAGGAAGTTTCTATGGATGCAGTTATTTAAGGAATAATTCTCTATTTCTTGTGTATATATATATATATAGCGTTGCAAAACTATACGATTATATTCACCTATCTATTTTGCAGAGACGAGGAAGAAGTTAAATAGATATGCATGGGGAAGCAGAATAACTTTGACGACCAGGATTTACGTTTTTCAAGATACTTTCACGGAAAAGCTTTAGAAGCCCCGGAACATGCGAACAAAGGACAATTGTCTTACTTTGTTTAGCCCTCAGTTACAGCCACAATATATACCAACGTGTATTTTTCTCGCAAAGATGCGAGACACTCTCGGCTTTACACATTGGAAATTCCATTGAGAATTTTCCGCGCAACGAAACATTTCTGCCACGTTGTCCTGCGGAGTAATGCGCTCGTTAATCGACGCCTGAAAATGCGAAAAGAATCGACGAGGCCCGAGCTCGTATTGGCTCTCGTTCCCGTTTTTCCGCAGCATAAATGGCATGCTTGAAACATCGCATGGAGATTGCTCCTTTCTTACACCCCCTCTCCCTTATTTCCTTCTCAGGATTTTGGATACGCCGTGCCGTTTCGATCTCGAAGTCGGTCAACTTTCGAATTAAAGATTCTGCCGGCAGACTCGCGCCGGAAGAGACTGATCGCAGCGAGGAACGTGAAAGGCGACGAACAGGGGAGAGCAGCTTTCAATCCAAATCCTCCCCCCGTATTGTACAGAGGATGGAACCTCCGTTGCGACCCGCATATGAAATTATAAAAGATTATTCTTGTTCGAACGAGCGTATGCCCGATGCACAGAATTAATTTATTATCATCGGCAATCTCGGCCATTTTGCTTTCGCGGATGAAAGGAGCCGGGAGCGCGCTCGCGTGCGCGTACAAAGCGGACAAAGCTGCTAATTATACAAATTACGAAGACCGTCCGCGCGTTTCATCACTCGATTTTAATCGGCAAAATAATCATGTCCCCTGGCAGAGGACGGCCACCCTCTCTGTTGAACTCTGTCGAACGACGCTTGTTAAAGTCCATCGAGCTTCTCCGGGATCGAATCGACTTTCGAAAAAAAGAACACGAGAAATCGAATATATATATATATATATTATATTGATTTATATTTTTTTATATATTTATTTTGAAAGTGGCCTGAATCCATTTTCCAGAAAAATCAAGCTAGTTGTTTTAGTATTTTGCATTTCTTTAATAGTGAATAAAAGTTGGATTATTTTATTAATTTTATAACAAATTTTGTAAACTGTAATATTTTTATTTTATTTTGAGGCAATTTTATCTTATCCAAGGGACTTATGACTGTTTAAAAATTGAGAAAGTTGTTTCATTAATCCATCTGTAGCCACCAAAAACGTGTTTACTTTCTATAAACAATGTTCATCATACTAATTGGTAAATCCATACACCCTTAGAAACGCAGAAACATTATACTACCATGTTGTCAGTTAGTTTTAAATTTATCAAAACGCAAACCGCTTGATTTAAAAATAAATGGACTTTCAAAATAAACGGCTCATATATATACAATACACGTGCATGCATAAAGTTATATCTGCCAGCTGAAATTTGCCACGCCACGGGTACGCTTAATCGTCGTGTTTCGATCCTGTCTTTCGCCGATTCAATTTTTAAATCTTTCAATTATTAATCAGCTTTCGACGTCACGATCCAAAAAAAAAAAAAAAAAAAGAGTTTCCAGTTGAGAGGCATTGAATTCCATTAACAGATGAATACATTTATCGGGAGTTAATGGACGAGTCACGTCATTCAAGTTGTTTCTTCCTTTTCTTTCTTTTTTTTTATTTTTTTCTTTCAGAATCTCCTCCGATAGTATGGAATAAAATAGAATCGAACGGAGTTCCGCGAAATCGCGCGGATAAGCCGCTGATGTTTCGAATTTGCATCGAACAGACAACGCTGCTGCAAGTTGGACAGTGTAGCTGAGTCGGGAATGAGTGGAGATGGTGGAGCCAGGAGAGAAAATTGATAGCTGACGGATAAACCGGCCCGAACGAATCGAAAGTGGAAGCAATCGTTGCCCGTTGGAAAATTATCAAGCGACGAGTTCGTCTGTCCAAAAGAGCGAAGTGTTGTATACTATATCGCGGGTGTTGCCTTTTCTGGCGTTGCGAGACACCGAGGAACAACAACACACAGGACTGAGAGGGTAAACTGGAAAATTTCGCGGAAAGTTGCTGGAGAGTGCAGCTATCTCAGCTCGTTACTCCGTGTTTCCGGCGCCCGGCAAGTTTACGAAAGCTCGCGCCCCCCTCCCTTCCCCTCTCGTCCGGCACTTCACTTCCGCGATATAATTTTCGTGGCTGTAAGGAGAGCTCTCGCCTCTCTCCACTCTTCCGTCGACAATTTTCGTCGAATAAAGTCGCCGAGATAACCGGCTACGACGGCCACGAAGACGACTACTCGCGACATTCCAGAACTTTTTTGCCCCCTTTCTTCACCTTCCTTTCGACCGCCACCGATTCGCGTTACTTTCTCGCAAACCAGAATCATTGCCACTATTCTTTCCAAGAATAATTCGCCGTAATAACAGTCGACTAGCCATTATATACGTACTCGTCAGTGAAAGGGACAGAAGAAAAAGAAGAAGAAAGGAAGAAAGTCGACTGGCAGGAGAGGATGAAAGCCTCTTGCGTCGCGGTGTAAACTCGATATCGGGGTAAATCGAATACGTAGGCGAACGATGGACGAACTGTGCCGAGAGACAATTTGATCTCCAGGACAGAGGCGAGATGATGGACCACGAGAGAGAGAGAGAGAGAGAGAGAAAGGTAATAATCGTTAAACTTCTACGTGTTCGCATCCAGGAAATTGCTGCTTTAACACGACTCCGCGCTGCGAATCTCCCCGAAGCCATCTTTGACGCCAATTAACGGAACTCGCCCTTCGAATTACAACCAATTAGTCGCGAAAGGGGCATGTTCCTTACGCGAGAGCCCACGCGAAGCTTCTCTCTCTCTGTCATTGCCGCGGTGAATGAATCTCGAACCTCTTAGACTCGCGTAACCTCTTGTTAGAGACTAATGACTCGATATTTATTAATTCTTTTCAGGCTCGGCCAATTTACTGGAAGAGGAGAACTCGAATTATCGAAACGCTTGTCTAAAAGTGGAATTGAAAGAAAGTCACTGGAAGCTGATCATGTTCTAATAAATCCTAACGTTTGTCAACATATCACAGGTACTTTATATCGTAGCAAATAATAAAAGTAATGGAGTAACAGTGATATTCCCGTGTGTCTGTCAGTTATTCAAATATGAATAATTTTCACAGGTTAGAAGAAGCGAAGATCGAAGCGGTAGAGGATGATTGAAATTACGAATTACTTTCCCCCCTCTCTACCAGTCACAGCCGTACTCAAACACCGTACCCCTGCGTCAATTGCACTCGCGAACTCGCAGATGCGAGCTAACTTTTCTCCTACAGACGTTCGTTCTCGTTCAGACACTCTTCTCTCTCTCTCTCCCTCTCTCTCTCTCTTTCTCTCCCCTTTCGTTCATTTCAACGACGAATAAGGTCGTCCGCTAAGTTTTCCCAGTTTTTCAAACCTTACAAGCCGGGAACTTACTGCCGAGGGTAAGAATAACGGGCCATTTTCACGTACGTTCTTACGAATTCGAAGTTGCCGTTCCCGTTCTCGAACAGAGTTCTTTCTCAAGTTGGGACATGTATATGCGAACGCGTGCTCGCTCGCGAACAACCGGTGACACGTCGTTCTTGTTTGTCGCTGTACAGGATGTCAGGAAATGTTTTGCCGTGGCCCATCATCGGTGAACTCTACATCCCCAGATCGACGAAGCTCTGTCAAAAAAAAGTGTCCGCAAAAATGTCCTTGATCGGTATTTTGAAGGTTAAATTTTGTTATGACTGCATCGTATTCCATTCCGTCGACAAGATGAAATGTCTCTAAAGAACCATGAGTCGGAAATGACTCATTCTCCTGAAAAATGATTACATATATCCAATTATTATTAAACTCGCCATATATGTTTATATGTTTATATTTTGCAATGGAATAGGCTCTGCTATTGCATTTGCTTAATTTCTTCGTCCACGGATCCACAAGACAGCACCATCCTGTTTAGAGACAACGAAAAGTCTAATACACAGGGCGGAACTCTGTGTCATAGTTTTAAGGTCATTTCACAGTCATCATAATACACTGTTGAATTCGTCTCGACATTAGCAATAATCTGATGATATCAAAAACATATGGTGCTTGATTTTTCTACGTAAAAAACATTTTTTGAGTCTTAAGAATATGAGAACATGTAGCCCACTAGATACTAAAAAAAAATATTGTTTGAAACATGTTTCAATTGCGCCTAAAAACTGGTGACAAATCTTAACGTGGACACTCTGCAGAGGCAGATGCACAAGCACGTCTTTTACATATACATACTGCAGGATGGTGTTGTCTTGTGGAACCGTGGAAGATATGTTCGACGAAGAAATTAAGTAAATGCAATAGCAGAGCCTGTTCCAGTGACGGCTTTTTGAGAAGTAAGTCAAATTTTGTTCATTATTTTTTTTGGTACTAGCTCGTGAGTCACTAAGTCAGTGGCGTCACTTGAAAAGGAGGAGCGGAGGATGGTTAAAAACTACTTTTTTTTTTGGTTCTCACTTTTAGAATCCTCTAAAAAATTTACGTTTCCTTGTTTTACAACTTTTACTTTTGCAAGTGAAGAGCAAAAAAATAAATGTCGACGTCAAAAAATTGGTATAAAAGTGGTGACATCATGCCCAGTCACCCCTGCACTATACATTAGATATATATATATACTTTATTTCTTAATATTTTTTATCATCTGTTCTCTATTTTATTATATAAAGCTATCCATTCTGGGAATGGGATCTAGTATGTTTTTTAGTGTTTATTACATCTGTTTAATCGTAAGCGCTATATAAAATTTTTTGGACACAAGTAACTCGTATAACATTTAAGACTTGAAATACCTATATGTATACATAACCAAGTCGTAATCATAAAACACAATTATGCATTTATTTCTCACTTTTAAGCTCTAACCGAACGCTTGTAATTTTCTCAACATTTTTTGAAAAGAGGCGTTCGAAAAATAATTAAAATTCTTTTATATATAAGTTTATAAAAATCAACGTGTGGATCATTTAAAAAACCTGCGTGGGTCATAGGTCAATTCGCCATCATTGGCCTATTCCATTGCAAAATATAAACATATTACACATATATGGCGAGTTTAATAATAATTGGATACATGTTATCATTTTTCAGGAGAACGAGTCATTTCCGACCCACCGGTACCTTGGAGACATTTTATCTTCTCGGCGGAATGGAACACGATGCAATCATAAAAAAATTTGACCTCCAAAAAATCCGATCGAGGACATCTTTGCGGAAACTCTTCATCGATCTGGGGGATGTAAAGTTCACCTATGATTGCCACGACAAAACATTTCTTGACACCCTGTACAAGTGCTTCCGACGCAAATTTAATTCTTGCTCAATTGACACACACACACACGCACACACAAAGAAAAAAAAGAAAAAAACACGCAGAGAGTGTAAATATTCCCCTCGGTAGAAATCAGACGATCATCGTCAATGTTGACTCTCTTTTTTTATTTCTCTCTCTCTTTCTCTCTCTCTCTCTCTCTCTCTCTCTCTCTCTCTCTCTCTCTCTCTTCCCCTCTGCCAGAGTCGCGCGAATCGATCAACTGATTCAATTAAGGAAACGCGCGGCTCGAGCCTGCAAAGAAAACAATGATTATGCGAGCAGTCGCTGATTGGCCACGGCGCTGACAGTCCGCGTCAAAAACAGAACGGTTTAATTAGTTGTGCAAAGTAATTAGTTCGATTCGTCGTGCTCGTTGATGCGCGCCCGTTGGTATGGCATCGACGCGACGGACTGGCTGAAAGCTTGGATTCCGCTGTGCGAGTTATGTTATTAAAATCGACGGCGAGCCAAAGCCCCGGGGCGAATTCAAAGCTCTCGCGCAGCAAAAATCGTCGTCTTTCGAACGATCGACGACGTCTTTCCGAGGGAAAATTGCTCTCGCCTTCCTTTTCTCCCCCCCCCCCCCCCGATTTTCCTTTTTCTTTCCGCTGGGACGCGTGCTCCTTTCGTTTTTCTCGTCACCTCTTCCACGCTCGGATCAATCGAGATGAAAAGAAACCTTCGAAACAGTTTTGGTACTTGTTTGTGTTTGACGGTAAATGAAATCAACGACACATTGTACATCCGTTGCAATTTAGTTAAAAAAAAAAAAAACACGCCGTAATTTATTCATTTGGTTCTCCGTCCGTAATTCATGTTTATTTAAATTTCTATTCAGTATAAAAATTTATTTAAATGTTACTTAAGTTTCGTTAAATCCGCGAGCAAACGTTCGACATTTCGCGCGCTTGAAGTATTTGAGTTGAGCAAAGTGGCGACCGTGAATTGTAAAGGCGAAAAATAGCATTTCCAATGACATTTCCTCCCAAGAAGAAGTTACAAGTGTAAAATTGAAAAGAAAAAAAAAAAATGTTCGCAGGTGAGCAGACAGGTAACGAGCCGGTAAATAAGCGTAACTGTTTGCGCCAACCCCGATCGAAAAGACGATATAGAACGAGGCCGAAGGACACGGACAGTGATTCGAAGGATCATTAAATACGCGTCACGTTTCCCGATTTGAATCTCCTTCTGTAATCGACGAACCTCCGTCGTCCACGATCACCAAGATGTTTGGCCTGTTGACCAAGGCGAAGACCGAAGAACAAAGTACTAATAGTACTTTAATAAGGAGATGCGCGTGTGTGGGTGCACGTAAACCCGAATGAATCTGAGAGGAAGCAGGCGTGAAGTCTTTTCCGGAAGAAATATGAAGGGAAACGTTACTCGTGTGAAATATACCTCTCACTATGAGAGATTTTTCTAGGTTTTGTAGACTGAAGAACAGAATTTCCATTCAAAATCTATCAATCAACCTCTTCGAGGTGACTGACGCATGTGTGTACGTTTAGTTTTTTTTTTTTTTTTCTTTCTTTCTTTCAAGGTGAAAGAAAATTAAAATGTGTCGGAGAACTATTGAATCTTTCAATAATAAAAACAAAGATCTCAATATTTTATTCTACTTGTAATAATAATCACTGCTTTCTAAATGTTGTAACGTTGCCTCTGACGTGTCATAGCTCTTTTGATTATTTGAAGAGTATCGTTAATATTTGATAAATCAAATACCAGGTGTGTAAAATATAGTAAAAATCAGTTTTAACGATTGTATGTTAATTTGTAATGTTAGTTCATTCTGTAGAATTGCAAACAATATCTAATTTTTCTATTCTGTTACAGGCGAAGGAATGAAAGTGAAAACAGAGGATGCAAAATGATGGAAATTATTGCAGAAATAACGAAAACTCAGGCATTGAAAGTTTGGAAATATTATCAGACATGCAGCTCTTATTGTATTCATTGTTTTCTCCAATTTAATGAAAACCTAATCAAGCAAAAAATCACATAACTTTTTCGACACTTTAAAAAATTCGTCCCTGAAGAGACAATCAACAAATCGCAACTTATAATAGTGACTTATCCCATTTGAAGCAACAGAATTAACAGAGTACCTCGACATTTCCAGGAGTCCGGACTCGAGACGAGCAGTATAAACGTTGACGATCGACGTTGAAATGTGGTAATTTCCCAAGAAGAGGCTAGTGGGCAGTAGAGGATAATTGTAACTGTAACTTCGCGAACGTTGGAAATATCACCGGATTATGCCCGAGAAACGGTCAAGAAATTTCGTGCATCCGGAGGTACTCGAGAATTTCCACGAGATTCTGGAAACTTGGTGAGATTCTCGACGCCTTTTCTGACGTTTTTTCGCGCGGCCAGACTCGAAGATTTCTCGAGGCATTGGCCATCGACGGCGCGTGACTGGCGAGAGCGGTCTGACAAGGCCCCCCCGAAACGAAAAATGTCGGATATTTCTATCGCCGCGGAATAATATTGGACGCGATCGAAAGCTTTAGAGGGCCAAATTGCTCGAAAACTCGCAACAGAAGGAGAATGAAATAGCCGCGGCGAGGGGAGGAAAAAGGCAGAGGGAAGGCCGGAGGCTTCCAAGGGGAAATCGAAGCGGAACGAACGAGGAAGAGAGACGGACAGAGGGTGAACAAAGAGCGCAACTGTCACTACGGATTATAAGCAATTACGAAGATAAGTTGATCGGACTCTGTTTCCATCGGAAAGATTAAACGGGGAATGTCGCACGTGCTCGCGGGAGTTACTGTGCGCACGATCGATTCTGTAAACGCGTAATTAACGGATCGGCGTCAGTTCGCAAATTGGACTGTAAAAATTACCGGCACGTTGTTCCAATACGCCGGCGCCGAACTTTCAATTTAGAGCGTAAAACAGTCGGCCGAACTTTCAATTTAGTGCGCAAAAAAGGAAAGAGTTTGCACGTACAGTTACTCGCTTAATTAATATTAAAGCTGTTGCGATCGCGTGGGAAAAAATCGTGCAACAATAAACCTGGGTTCTTTTTTTTTTTTTTTTTTTTTTTGAAGCTTAAAGCGTTCATTTTATTCTCATGTGTTTTTGCAGTTAAATTATAGAAATGGAAAGACATTGAGAAACTTCTCTTACAACTGAATTTGAAAAATCATGTACCAAAAACTTGATGCACGAGGTTTACGAACGTTAATGTGAGTAATTGCGCAGATATGCTAATAGAATTCATTACGTGTTCTCCAAATTTTGTGTCCGCTGAGATATTTTATTATCTTAATTCGCACAAGATAAACAACGTTAAATACACACACGTGCATAAACTGAACGGGCGATCGATAAACAAAACAGATACAAATAATAATGCGTCTGCTGTCCAAGCAAGTCTGCTGTCGAAGCAACGATAACAGATGGATTCACGACCATCAGCTTCATTTCGAATTTCAGTATTATCAGAGGAGGCCGCTTTCGAATATTAAATTTGTCACAATGCGTACCCAGAGTCCATTGTGGTACTCTCAATTTATTTCTCGCACGATTTTATCGGTATTTTTCGAACGGAACTTCTTTTACAGCTTCCTCCTATTTCCAATCTAATTCTGTTTCCGATTTACTTTCACTTTGCTTGATAAACTTTAACCTGGGAACGCTGGCCCTCCGTACAATAATATAATAGAGGCGTACGTGCATACGTATGTTGCAGCGGAATATTAAAAATTACGCGGAACAAGTGGGTGAAACGGGTTACGAGCACACGACGAAATAAATAAGCACTACTTACTCTGAACGATCGGATGCACGTGTCCCCCTAAAATGGGACTGCTTATTCTACGTAGATCTTCTCGAATGTTAGTTGAAAAGAAATATAATGTTCCCAGAAACATTATCTTTCTGGTGACAAGTCGCCTTTAGAATATATCAGAAATGTTTGCTACTCGCGAGAAAAATACTTGACATTCACAATTTAATACGAATCGTGCGTCTTTTGCCATTTTATTGGATGGAGAGGAGGCTTCAGATTTTCAAATCCATTGTAAATTCGGCCATGAAAAAAATGTCTCGACAGTTTATACCATTTTCGAGAAGAAAGTCTTGTCCAACATAAACGCACTTTACAATTAAACCATGATGAAACGAACGACGTATTTTGAAAGTAGAAGCCTCGAGTTGTAAAAAGACCTGAATCCAGGTACACTCTTTGCTTTAATGGAATTGTAATGCAGTGTAAAAGTATCCAAATATTAATTAACAACTGTAAACAGGATAAATCAGAAACGTTTGCTACTCGCAAAAAAGACACTTGACATTCAAAATTTAATAAAATGGCAAAAGACGAATCGTGCGACTTTTGCCATTTTATTGGATAGAGGGGAGGCTTCAGATTTTCAAATCCATTGTAAATTCGACCATGAAAAAAATGTCTCGACAGTTTATACCATTTTCGAGAAGAAAGTCTTGTCCAACATAAACGCACTTTACAATTAAACCATGATGAAACGAACGACGTACTTTGAAAGTAGAAGCCTCGAGTTGTAAAAAGACCTGNAATCCAGGTACACTCTTTGCTTTAATGGAATTGTAATGCAGTGTAAAAGTATCCAAATATTAATTAACAACTGTAAACAGGTATGCGAGGTTTGTGATTCACGAAAACGCTTTCAACTTTGTCAGGTAACGCACAAAACACGTTTGATTTCGTTTGATCAACGCTAAAGCATTACCGACGAGATATTAAAGCAAAAAGGAAAGAAAAATAGAGAAACTTAACGGTACAGCGGAGCGCAGAAGCTTTTATTTTTTATATTTCGCGAAAAAAGTTATTTAAATCTTTAAAAATACACTGTTCTGCATCTATATGAAATGCCTGACAAAAATTACAAATTGCCTGTCGCTTTGATGGCCGAAGTGAAATATTACTTTCGAAAACTATCCGCTGTCTTTTTCGCGAATTTTATACAATTTTCACAGACACGCAATACTCTACACTTTCGAAACTGATATTGCTGCAGGAAGAAGAAAAAGGACAGAAAAAGGAGAAAAAAGGAACGTTGAACAATAGCATTCTCTTTGACAAAAAAAACGTGATATTAAATATCCATGTTATTTGTACGGAACAAGAAAATTTAATGTCATAAAAGAAAATTTCTCGAATTACACGTGTACGCGCGCTTGTGTGTGCACCGTTGCGAATAGAATATTGGAAAACTGGCAACGTTGTTTCAAACAAGAGATACATAAAACGACAACAGGAACTGACGTTTAATTACATCATCCTGGCAGGCGAAACAATATTCTCCTTGGAATCGTCTAGACTCTGGATAAAATATCTAAAACGTTCGAAACCTACACGCGTCTATTATCCAAAAATAAATTTGATCAAATAAATTTCTGCAGACAGTAGTTGTCTGTCGACAAAAATTTGTTATTTGTAAGAATTCGAAAGGCAAACGCAAAATATATTAACCTCTTTCGAATGACGTGTCACGCACGTCGAGAAATTTTTGTTCCCAAATTAAAACATTTTCTCAGTTTAAATGTAACCCAAGCAAAACAAATAATAAATTACTTCTTAGTAATTTCTATCCGGTGATATCATACCGATCAATATAAAAGAAAAAGAAAGCGACGGATTATTATATGCGGTTCGGTCACTCGTTATGGTCCGCGAATCAGTTGCCAGCGCAAAGGGTTAAAATAAATATTTCAAATATATTTTTAGGTTAGAGGAAACATCTAAAACGTAACTTTATGTATAATACACGCGTCTGTTATCCATAAATTGGATAAAATAAATTCTGCAGACACTGGTTCGACAAAATTTTTGTTATTCGTAAGAATTCGGGGAACAAAATATATTTTTCGAGTAAACATTTCAAATATATTTTTTAGGTTAGATGAAACATCTAAAACGTAACGTACACGCGTCTATTATCCATAAATTTGATCAAATAAATTCTGCAGACACCAGTTGTCAATAAAAGTTTGTTATTTGTAAGAATTCGTGGAACAAAATATATTTTTAAAGTAAATATTTCAAATATATTTTTTAGGTTAGAAGCAACGCCGCCATTGGCTCGAATCGCTTTCATCTATATACGCACGTACGTATTATATTTATTTAGCTGATATTAGAAGCGGAACGATCAAAGGGCAGTAACGGAGTGGAAATTTAATAGGATAACGTGAGTTGTTTCACTTGGTGGTCGAGTAACTTGAGTCAATTCCAAGTTTCTTCGTTTCTCAGATATTGCTAGGATCGGTGATCTCCGTGGCTCTTAATTGTAAGCCGCTGAGAGCTTAAGAGTATCGAGCCGATACATATATAGATTTACAGACAATTGGAACGGCGCATCTACCAATCTCAATAGGGGAAGATAAGCGCATAGTGGTCTGACGTGATAACACTTCACGCTACGCCCGAGGTACTCTTGCACCTTGCAGGTTGCCTCCGCGATACCAGACACGGAAACCTTCTCCCCAGACGGAGACCTATTCTCCAACCGAGGAATCGGATTAGCTCCACGATCTTGGAATATCGCTGCTCTGATAACGCAACTTTCTCATCTAATTCCGAGTCGACGAAAGTGAAAGCTTTCGGATTTGTTTTATCAATCGGAGGTTCCGATTGTATTATACAGGGTGTTTCGTAACTTGTGGGATTTACTTCAGGAGCTGATTGTACGCTTAAAAATAATGAAAAAAAAGTCATATAAATATATGTCCTCTCTGTCTTCGTTTATGAGATATAATGAATTTTATAAACAAAACAAACTCTAGTAAGCTAGCTTTACCAGGTATATTCAATTTTCATAATAATCATAATTGGAATGAAGAAAACCCACGTGTTATTGTGCGTTCAAGACATCAACACCAGTTTAGTTTAAACGTATGGGCAGGAATAATTGATA